ACCTCACCCCACCCCCACTCCTCCACCCCAGACACAAAATTCTCAACTGTCCAAAGCTGTGGCCAATGTACGCACACACACGCACGCACACGCGTGAGTGGCACACAACCACACCCTCCCTCCTGCCCCAATCACCACACCTTACCTCAACCCCCACCCCTCTACAACCCCCACCCCTCCACCCCAGACACATAATTCTCACCTGTCCCGCGCTATGGCTTGAGAGCTCCGCGGAGCACGCTGCCCTCGGGTAGACCGGGAAGGCAGAGGCGAAGGGCTGATACATGACGTCAACGCAGCTCATCCTCGGCGCGGGGACAACACTAGATCTACGTCACGCTGGCCACTCTCACACGCACGCGCGCGCGCGCATACGCATACGTGCATACATACGTATGTCAACACACAAACGCGCACACGCACGCACAGACGGACACACTGGTGTGCACACACCCCGACGTCGTATGTTATGTCCTTCCTTTGGAATGAAAAGAAGTGCACTCACAGATTGTCTTTGATTTTTGAGTTCTGTTGTCGGCACTGTCAGGTGGATCGCTCGATTCGTGGCAAGCCAATCATCGAAGTGAAAAACCGGTTGACTGTCAGGGATTATTATTATTATTATTGTTGTTGTTACTGCTGTTTTTTGTTATTATTGTTATAACTTTTATTTTTATGATTATTGTCGTTTTATTTGTTGTTGTTTCAATCTGGCGGCCCGAGTTCTAGAGATTCAATATCATGGATGTCGGAAGACCTACTTGCAGACGTCACAATATTATGTCAGCGGCGCGAAAACTGTGAGACGTGCCTGGCATCAGCACACAGTAAACCCTCGGCGGTCAGACTTTTTCCTAGGAAGGAGAAAATGGTCCCGAAATGAATGCTGGACTGGCCTTCTGTCGTAGCTGCTGCCGGTGCATGAGTTCATCCAACTTCTAAGCTCACAATCTTGTAGATCACTCGTCTTGTTGTTTCCCCACAGGTCCGAATTTTTTTTCTTCCTCAGACGCCCATACACACACACGTGTGCACGCGAGCGCACATACACACACACACACGCACACACGCACACACGCACATACACAGCCACGCACACAGACAGGCGCGGGTTCTGAAGATCTCCGAAGACCTTCGGAAAGGTTTCCAACGGTTGAAGGTAGCGTCGTGTGCAGGCACTTGGGCTAGGAATCCTGGCAATTGGATCTATGCCGCTAAACCCGCATCTACCACATGCTCTGAAATGTTTCACCAAGTAGAGAACTGAAGAACTTCCGAGGAACTCCTTGCTCCTTACTTCGCACGCGCTTTCGCTCCTCTCTTCCAGGGCCACAGTCAGAGAAACTTAGAAAGTAGCAGAGATTTCTTCCTCCCGTCTCCTCGCTTCTTACTCGTTCGTTTCAGAGACAGGAGCAATGATTGACGTTGTGGGGGGCGGGGCTTAGAGTGACGAAGGGGGAGAGAAAACCAATGACGATTGGTTGAGGTGAGTAAACAATTTGTCCGAGGATGCGCTGCTTCCTGTCGCTCTTCAGACTGGACTTTGTGTGAGGAGATGAAGAGGGAGGCCTCCTCAGTCGGTCGATGTTTCCTTCCGGGCTTTTGGTGGGCTCGTCTTGTTGGTTCTTCGTGCTTCGGGCCGTCCGCGGCCACTTTCTGGGTTTGTTGAAAGTTTTCTGTTGACGTTTAACGCCCTTCTAGCCACACAATAAGTCGGTCGATTCACCCGGCACTTAGTCGGAATTTTTCGCGACTGTCGAAAGAACAGATTCAGTGGGTGTAGGTTTGGTAACTGGTGCTCTTTGAATACTTGGCAATTTTTGAATGAACATAAGCACGTCATGTAGGTTTGGTTAATGGCATGGTATCGTTGTAACACCCACATTGTGAGATTGTTCAAAAAACAATATTATGTCATGGCGCGGGAGGAGGCAGGCGTTTGTCAATTTTTGGGCATATAATGGAATTATTTGTATCATCTTAAAAGCCAGTTCATTTGTTTTTATTTCGATGAAAGACATACGAATCTGTCTTGATTAGAAGTCGAGATATTTGCGATTGAAAGAGAGGAGGTAAGGGTTCGCGGGTTTCAGAGGTAAAAGTCAGGAAGAAAATTATCGTCAAAGTTTGGTGATTTTCCAAGCTTTAGAGTCCTTGGAGACTGATAATTTACAATTAATTTTTTTTGCCTTCAATCAACGTTTTTCAGTAAAATTCACACATTATTATGTTTTTTAATGTTCAGCCAAAAAAAACCCAACAACAAACAAACAACAAAACAAAACAAAAACAAACAAACAAAATCCAACAACCCAAAAATAACAACAACAAACACACATACAAACGCACACTAAATTTCGATTTTAAAAAACTACCCGTACTAAATGGGCGGAAACATATCAGTTTCTTCGATTTCATTATTAAAGAGCGCCTTATTTTGTTTCCCCACGATACCTCAGATCACATTCAAGTTGTGGGAAATTATTTATTTATTTATTTATTATAGTAGAGGGTTTTACGGCGCTCGCAACTGCATAAGGTCATATGAGTGCCAGAAGATTAGAGGTGTTACAAGAGAGTAACAAACGTAAAAAAGAAGAAGGGGAGATAAGGACGACAGATGTTCGATATGAAAGAAGAAGCAAATCACACCAGAGCACCCGCCAACCACCCACGTTGTGGGAAAGTCATATTTCGAGCCGACTCCTATAAGACTGTTCCAAACGGACGGAAAGTCGTGAAAACTTCCCAAATAACCTGAAGTCTAGACCACAAAGTCGCAGGGGGCTCGAACCAGAGTCAACGATGTATGTGGTAGTATTTTTTGGGTTTTTCTATTATTTTTTGGGGTGTGTTTTTGGTAAGTGTTTTACGGCGCTCACAACTGCGTAAGGTCATATGAGCGCGCAAGACACATTAAACATGTTCAGTTGGTAGGAAATTTTGAATTTTGCCCGGGTGGCCGCCGAAGCCTACTTTTATCGATTTTAAATCACTAAAGGATCTTTAACGTGTGCATCGCCCTAGATTTTTCGCCCTTGTCCGAGAAGGTGTGTTGATCTTTCCTATCATAAGATCAGGGGTGTGGCTGAAGGACAGCAGTAAGAAGGAGCCAAGGAGTAGCAGTAGAAAAGCTGCAGAAAGAGTCAAGAGCCCGGAGGAGGGGAGGGGGCAAAGAAGGTGAGGGGGTGGGGCAGAAAGTAGAAAGTGGAGACGAAAGAAAACGAAAGAACATTGCTAGAGAGCAGGAAAGCAGGTGAGAGGAGACACTTTTAGAGAAGAAAATGTTTACCGTCACTATCCGGATTCGAACTCGGGACCTTTGAATGATAGGCGAACACCTTAACTTCTAGGTCACGTGGTGTGGCGATTAGTCACTTAGCTGTCGCACACAGGAGATCAGATACGAGTTCGATTCCCGAGTGGGGAGAATGTTTTTCGAGTATCTCGATCTTCTTGTAGGGACGTTGTGTCGGTCTGAGTCCGTGTTGGCCCTGATAGACAGCGTTGATGAAGGCCACTTCCTGAATTATCTACATTGTATTGCGTCGGTGGGGACGTAAAAACACCTAGTTAAAAACCAAACCAAGCAAACACACACAAACATACACACACGTACGTACACAGAGACAGACAGACAGACAGACAGACAGGGAGAGAGAGAGACAGAGACACAGAGAGAGAGAGAGAGAGACAGAGAGAGAGAGAGAGAGAGA